GTGCCATATGCATCGAGCATGTGCTGTAGGACACGTATCAAACGATTGGTCATGCCATATGCACTGAGCATGTGCTATAGGACACGTATCGAACGATTGGTCATGCCATATGCACGGAGCATGTGCTATAGGACACGTATCGAACGATTGGTGGTGCCATGTGCACTGAGCATATGCTATAGGACACGTATCGAACGAGTGGTCGTGCCATGTGCACTGAGCATGTGCTATATGACACGTATCAAACGATTGGTCATGCCATATTCACGGAGCATACGCGATGGGCCAGTCGGTGCTTGATGTGTGATTTGATCGAAATCACGCCGGTTGCTTTTATTTCTAAAGCCAAGGAATCTTAGGTCAATATTTTAAAACTCTACGTCCACCCTGTTCGGACTCGAACTCGAGACCTTCGGACCGACTGTGGAGCATCTAGCTACTACGCTACCAGCGCGTCCATGTTACTCAGAGTAACTCCTTAAAGTTTTGTTTTTCTTTAACCTCATGGTATCTGTATTTTATTTAATAAAGAAAATTAATTATCACAACCAAAGGAAATTAATTACCACAACCAGAGAAAATTAATTACAACATCCATTCAAAATCAAGAAATGTTTACAGTAGTTTTGTTTGCATTGATTTTCATGGTCTGAGGAGGAAATCTTTGTCTCTCTGCGAAGATGGCCTAATCTGTCCCCATCCAGCACCTGTCCAGACAGCAGCAAGTCTAATTGCCTATTTGCTAAACACGACATTGCCTGTGTTCAAATTGAAACTTTAAAATCAACGACAGAGTTTTTAGCGAAACTGTCTGGCTTTTATAAGGAAGAAAACTAAACAGAGCCTGAAAATCACAGGCCTCGCTCCAGTGAAGAAGCTCCGACCCTTGTTTGTCTCAACGGCTGTCTGCTGTAACAATGTCGCCGAGCTCAAGTGCGTTGTGTTAGTTGTGTCAGCTTTGAATTTTCGCCTTAAAAAAAACTTTTTGACGGACATGGAAGGAAATTCTGGATGCAATCTTGAACGTCAAGATTATTGACCGTAAACTTTGAAAAGGGTAAAAACATGCAAGCCAGGCTAAGACAGCAGGGTAGCTCAGGGTAAAACCACGTGTAGTGATAAAAAAAAATGTTTGACTGACGTTCAGGATATGCCATTTTGAGTCGCAGGGCTATCAAAACATCAGGGAGCAGACCAGGTTGGGGAAAATAAAAGTAGGTCAGCTAGAATGTAGCCATGGTACAACTTCTCGGTTTTAAAAGAATGGGTGGGGGTGAAAGGGGGGGGGGAGGATGGGGTGAGTGGGAGGAGAGGTATGGCGATCATATTTTCAAGCGACCATCAAAGTAAAAGTAAATACCCTTTTCCACGTCTTCATCTTCTTCTTCTCCTCTTCCACTTTTTACCTCATCGAAGTGTCGGGGAAGATGTAAGATGCGTTGATGAGCTCTGTCAAGAGCACTATTAAGACTGATGTTCATTTCTGTAAGGCTGTTCCTAATGCCATCACTCCATATTTTCCGAGGTCTTCCACTCGCTCTATACCCGTTGTAACGTTTTATTATGACTCGCTGTGGCGGATAGTACCAGGGCATTCTTGTTAGGTGTCCAAACCACTTCATGTGTTACTCTTTAATGACTTGTAAGACTGGCTTTATTCCTAGCCTTCATGCGTAATGCAATATAGGACTGGACCTATATTTAATAGACCAATCGGTGGATGATACGGTCACCATCAAGCCGGTAGCCTTTACTTCCCGGGCTATACCTGGTATCCACTCAAGGCTGTGTTGACCTGGTAGCTCAGGTCGTTTAAAATAAACAGTCCATCTCCGTCATGATCCGAACCCATGATGCTCCTATCCACAGGCGAGTGACTTGCCGTTACACCACGCCTTCAAAAGCCACAGGTTAAAGAACTTGGCTGTAAAGGTTACGAAAATAACTTATAAACTCCTAAACTACGGATAACATATCATATTGCTATTTCCGAATTCTAATGAGTATAGCGAAAACTTAATGTTACTTTATCTCACACGAACAGCCTCCCACTGTGATTTGATGATATTTAATCTATCCTTTGAGAAACAACATGCCAGGCATTACAATATAAAACAAAACAATTATATCATTGCAATATTCTTCTGCTTCTTTTCTCTTCTCATGGAATGGCTCGCGGCGTCAGGGCGGGAAAAGATCTCTATAAAAAAAAAAAAAAAATCACTTGCAGTTAAAAATCGAAAAGAGTAGCCTAACGGTGCTGCCTGTGGAAAATTTGGAGTCAAAATTCTTTCCAAAGTATTTCAGGATCCTCGACCATGCTACAGAGCCTGTAACTCAGACTTGAGTTAGAAGAAGAATGGAGCACTTATGGGTCCGTGTGCCACGATGTTGATCCGTTGTTCAAAACCTCAAACCTAGGAACAACTCACAAACTTGGGCCTATCTCCGCCCATCTACACACTAGCCGACACCTAGCTGATGCTTGTTTGGGCTGGTCATCAATGGTCAGGGTTAGGGGAGTGTGCCGGTGTACTTCTTGTTTTGACACAGCTTTCTGCGTTACGTATTAATGCTTTTTTTTTTTTTTTTTTTAGGAGTAGCGGCCAGCTAAATTGCGTACTCACTCATAGGCAGTATTAGTGTTTGTGGATGGGTATATGACAACCGTCTATGATTTTGCTTACAAAATGAGTTTATTGCAGAGGGTAGAGTTGCGTGTCTGCAGCGACACAACCTGTGCGGGCCACAGGACAATGTTAAAAGTCTGAAACCACAGCGCGTAGAATGCACTGTCTCATCGGAGCTAGGTTTGGTGTTTTGGGAAGGGGGTTTAGGGTTAGGACCAGTTGTACATGTTATAGGGTGGTTAAAGGCGCTCACGTCCTCTAATATAGACATGCGTGGCTGCGAGTAGGAGCGTCGACAGAGCTCGAGCTGACACCCCTGCCACTTACACTTGCGCGTCTTGAAGTCTGAACGTCTAATTACAGTGTCCTGGCCAGACTCCATCAATAATAAGTGTTCTGAGACTCAGGTTGTGAAACAGGACTGTATTCCAGTAGTGGATGAACAACCAGAACTTTCTGCCGGAGTCTACAGCCGGTGAACGCCAGGAAGAAGAAGATAAGCGTGTAGATGGGCGGAGATGAGCCAGAGTTCATGACTTATTCCTATTGTTATCATTGTTATTATTTTTATTATCAATATTTTTAATACAATACAATAATATACTTGAAATACGAGAATTTGAAATACATAAACAAATTTTACTTTGAAATAAAATGTCTATGCATGGTTAAAGAGGGTCTGTTAGTACCCTTAAAAAAATATCGGGCGGGGGGGGGGGGGGGGGGGTGGCAGTGCTGAGGGCCCCCTATAGAAAAGGGGGTGTTGTGGGTTCTCAAGGGACCTTGTGCCCTAGGTGCCGGCGCTTAAAGTGTAACTGAATTGTTTGTCCATGCAGAGTCTGTGTTCACGAGTGAACAAAAAACGCGTGTTTTTGTTTTTGATATATGTCATTGCGTATGTGATTTTGCCTGCCTGTGTCATATGAATGTTTGTATGTGTTTATAATTGTTTTACATTAGATACGTCGACAAGAGTTGTAAAAGTGCTGGATTCTATCATTGATATCGAAATGATAGCACATAATAGAAACGGACCGCAGGAATAGTTATTGATGTGTGAACAACACATGTAGATGATGATGATGATAAAGATGATGACAAAGGTGATGCTTATGGTGATAAAGATGTCGATAAGGATGATGATGATAAAAATTATGATAACGATGTCGATAATAATGATGATGACAAAGATGATGCTAATGATTACGATAAAGGTGATGCTAAAAGAGATTATGTTGATGATCATAAAGAGGAAAATAAAGAAGTAGATGCGTGGGCAAACGACCGCCGAGCCTGATGATATCTATTTGTTGAACCAACATGGTCCCATTTCCGACTATTTAACGGCCACTGGTCAGTTGTCGGTCTAGGCCAGTGTTGACATTGCAGTCACGCGAGCTCGTCTGCACGAGATTTCCCCGAAAATCAAGTTCCTTTTCATATATTTTTTTCTGGATCAGGGTGATAATGCATGACATGTGGAGTGGATGAGAATGAATGACATATGGAATGGATGAAAATAAATGACATTTGGAGGGGATAAGAATTCATGACCTATGGAGTGGATGAAAATAAATGACATATGGAGGGGGTTAAAATGCATGACCAATGGAGTGGATGAAAATGAATGACATATGGAGGTGGTTAAAATGCATGATCTATGGAGTGGATGAGGATGAATGATATATGCAGGGGGTTAAAATGCATGACCCATGAAGTGCATGAGATTTCATGACATTTGGAACATATAAGAATGCATGACCTAAGAAGTGGATGAGAATGCCTGTCAGATGGAGTGGATTCGAATGCATGACCTCTGACGTTGAAGAGAATACATGACCTATGGAATAGTTATATATGACTTATAGAGGGGATGAGAATACATGACTTATGGGGTAGTTGAGTATTCGTGATCCATGGAGCAGGGAATAATGCATGAAATATGGAATAGTTAAGTATTCATGACCCCCGGAGCGGGGGATAATGCATGACATATGGCGTAGTTGAGAATGTGTGACCTATGGAGTGGATGAGAGTACATTACATTTGGAGTAGCTGAGTATGTATGGCCTATGGAGCGAATGAGAATACTTGATCTAATCTATGGAGTAGCTGAGTATGCATGATCTATAGAGGGGGTGAGAATGCATGACCCATAGAGTCAGTCGCGCCGACGCAGAACAAAGAGACGAAGGAATGACTCTACCCTTCAACATAATTTTATGTTGGGAAGAAGATGGAGGAGCGCTTAAACCTTGTTCAACTGTGCACTATTAATAATAATAGTTATTGTTATTATTGTACAGCTCAACGAAGCTTAAGCCCTGTAAACCCTAGAAGTACCTGGGGTGAGGGGGGATGAGGGGGAAAATGTTCTCAATGTGGTTGAGGTATGTTTAACTTTGCGATGATGCTGATGTTGATGAGGATGATAATGATGATGATGATGATGATAGTGAGGTGCTAAAAAGCAAATAAAAAAATATATGTGAAGTACTAAAAAAACGTATAAATACGTAATCAATTTTTGGATTGCAGTGGGAAGGGACTCAAACTGCCTGCGGTCCCGGGTTCAGTTACGCAGGCATAGAGGGGATTATGCTTGTGACTATGTCAATATTCTGCTACTTCAATCCTGTGGTGTTATGGCGCCTAATTAGTGTTCTCTTAACGAACTTAAATTTAATGATCATTAGCGTTGTGTCTGTCGGGGTTCCAGTTGCTTACACAATGTCATAAATACCAACTAGCACAGCCACTTACACGAGGTGAAAGAGGACGATAGAAGAAGAGGATGAGAAAGAGAATGTAGTGGAAAAGAACAGGAAGAAGGTGGGGGAGTGGATGGTCGATATTTTGTGTCAAGAGGAGAAGCAGCAGCGGAAGCATGTAGAGAAGGAGATTGATACGCCAAAAAAAAAAAAAAAAAAACTAAGCTGTGGATGCAAACGAAGTTGAAAACGCAGACAAAGCAGAAGGAAAATAATTGCACAATGTTACCCATTTAATATTCAAATTAATAAGATTATTCGAAGTCAAGATTATTCAAAATATTCAAATTATTGTTATTTCATGACTCATATTGAAAATAAAGGTCTGATTTCTTAAGTTCATCTTTTTCTCGGTAATGGAGATATTGACATATAGTATAATAGAAACAACAGTCTCGTATATAGGTATGTAGGTATGTAGGTAGGTAGGTAGGTAGGTAGGTAGGTAGGTAATTGTACCCCACTAGGACATCACACCAGCGATAAACACCCGGTGACACAAAGTGCCACCATGCGGATGAGGATTATCCGTGGAGCGGTCCCAAAAACCCCTATCAGCCGTTAGGTCATATCTATGCCCCGGCTATATTCATGCCAGAAGCCAGGAGGGGCTTCAAAAAAAAAAAAAAAAAAGTTGCATACCAAATGGGGACGACTTTAACGATAACAGTCTCGTGACAATTTGTATTATTTCTTTTTGGGGATCAAGTTATTTTGGCTCCGCGCATTTAATGGCAATACATTAATTTTTTTTCTACTGACACATTTCCTGGTGCATCATAGGTTTCTGTTGGTTCACACGAAGGATGTGAAAAGTCTATCTTATAGCCTTGAAGATTGTCATTTAATCTATCTTACACTGTTTGCAATTCTGATGAGATTCATTCATTCATTCATTCAGTAGCATGTCCCTCGCGAAACCTCGCTGCCATAACAACCCTCCGGAAAACCTTTCTATCCTGAGCAAGATGTCCTGCGTCTGATACACCCATCTGGAGATCATCTGCCACATCCTGCACCCATCTTCTCCTTGGCCTTCCTCTTCCTCTCTTCCCAGGCATATACCCCTCCATTATTGTTCTCTCTAGACTTCCATGACGTTTCAAGTGACCAAAATATTTCAATTTTCTTTGTTTTATTGTCTTTACTAGCCAACCCTCTTCAATATTCAGCTCTTGAAGTAAGGATGCATTTGTTCTTTTCTTTACCCAAGATATTCTTAGAACCTGTCTGTAACATTTATATTCAAATGCATTTATGCGCTGTTCCGCTTGTTTAGTAAGTGTCCAGGTCTCACAGGCGTATGTTGCAATGGGAAAGATGCATGCTCTTAAAAATCTGACCTTTGTAATTCTATCAGTACAATTCCATAATTTATTCAGTTGTTTTAGTCTTTGAAGAGCAATTGATAGTCGCCGTTTAATTTCTTTCATTGTGTCACCATTGTTGGTAACCAGTGACCTAAGATATTCGAAATTTTCCACATGATGAGATTACAGAAACGTAAACCTGCTGCTAAAAATATAACAGTGCTTTCCTTGGTCTGATCGCGATGCATATTTTTTTTAATTAACCATGGGAATCCAATATCAGACTGCCTAAGGAAACAGTACAGAAAAACACAACACTAAGGTGTAGTACTTCTAGTGTGGTGATTTACACAACCTTTGGTAAATGAAGACATTATCAGATTAATTTTTTATCTGCTAATAAAGATAAGATGTTAAAGCGTACATAACGTTTGCATTTGTATACGTGAATGATGAAACTGTAAAAAAAAAAAAAAAAAAAGAGTCAAAGACTTTTCTCCACGCCTTCAGGCTTACAGGGCATACAGGGCTAGACCGAAATTTGAGACACCCTATGAGCCACGGTTGGGTACCGCTAGGACTATAATATACGGGAATGACGTAAGGTTCACAGGAAGATTTTTTAGCTCTAACGTTTACATTAAGTTTTTGTCTATGTAATACATTTTATACCTCTAGTTTTGGACTGATTTTCTAGGCTTGAAAATTCGACCAATTAGGGGGATGGATATGTGAAATATCTGAGGCCATAAATACCATCATCTACGTAGCACATCTTAAGGCTCGCATCCAGGAAGAAATAGAAAAAGAAGAAGAAGAAAAAGAAGAAGAAGAAGAAGAAGAAGAAGAAGAAGAAGAAGAAGAAGAAGAAGAAGAAGAAGAAGAAGAAGAAGAAGAAGAAGAAGAAGAAGAAGAAGAAGAAGAAGAAGAAGAAGAAGAAGAAGAAAGAAGAAGAAGAAGAAGAAGAAGAAGAAGAAGAAGAAGAAGAAGAAGAAGAAGAAGAAGAAGAAGAAGAAGAAGAAGAAAGAAGAAGAAGAAGAAGAAGAAGAAGAAGAAGAAGAAGAAGAAGAAGAAGAAGAAGAAGAAGAAGAAGAAGAAAAAGAAGAAGAAGAAAAAGAAGAAAAAGAAGAAAAAGAAGAACAAGACAAGAACAAGACAAGAAGAAGAAGAAGAAGAAGAAGAAGAAGAAGAAGAAGAAGAAGAAGAAGAAGAAGAAGAAGAAGAAGAAGAAGAAGAAGAAGAAGAAGAAGAAACAACACTGAGTGCTCCTTTTCCACGTGTATTTAGGTGTATTAAGCATACGGATCTGGCCCAATATTATAGACCAGTAGATACTAGTTGGGTGATGTGGTTAATATCATGTCGACTGCCTTTAATTCCCATGACATAACCTGGTAACCTATTTATGGCTGTTTCTACTTGGAAGCCATGGTCCGACTCCATTCGTAGTTGAACCCACAACCTTCGGATTCGTTGGCTAGAGTGTCGCTGCTAGACCACCTGATAAATGTATGTTAAAGTATAAAAATATACCACAGGCTCACCCCCGAACTAAAAACTGTTTGCCGTAACCCATATCGGACTAGACGGGTTGGCCTGCAGTTTTAATCTGGTTGATCACCTGCGAACCCGGAAGATGAGATAAATCTGGCCACAAGTTTATTGCCAAAGGGAGGGCAGTGTTGTTGCCACCGGATGAACGAGGATCGATTGCACGAGAAACCGCACGCGCATTCTAAAGTGAGGGGAGTTATTCTCCAATTGACGCTTGGCGCCGGGGCCCCCCCACGGGTAAGCGCCAACACTCGTTGTTCGCCTTCGCCATTCTTACACGTTGCTTGGAGTACTCATTCACATATTCTGTCGTGCCAGAGTGTTGTCTTTAAGACTGTCGGAGTGAGTCGGGTGGACAAGAAATCGGGTGTTTGCTCCAGATTGTCGCTTGTGTCAGTTCACTAGGGCTCGAATTCCACGATGCTTGTTATGCTACGTGTAAATATTTGGTTTTCCAACGGAAGCAATGTGCTGTATAACTGGTTAGGTTTAAATATCTAAACGCTGATTCTGTGAGTTTTGTTGAAAAGGTAGACTCACAGGAATAAGACTTCCATTTAAAAAATAAATAATTCAAATAATAAAAGAGAATAACACTCGTAAAATTTCGCTTTTTTAATTACTTAAAGCTACTTCAATTTTGCAATTAAATATGTAAAATTCAGTCAATCTTTTTTTTAGACTAATTACTTTCTAAATTCAAACTACTAGACTTAAATTTGCCTAGAAAAACCACACAACAGGCAGGGTCAGTTGGGGTTGGTTCTGCAACGTCCTGTAAAGGATATGCAACTAACCTAACTTTCTAAATTAAAACTAGTAAACTAATCGGCGTTTTCTTGTCATACTAATACAGTATGTCAAGTAAATTTAGGTCAGGTATAGTGAATTAAATAACGTTTTCGATTGTTGTTAACACAATGGACGACGAAGAATATGTACTTTCCGCAACACATAGGGTTCCAATATTCTCATTCGCCAGACTGCGTCGTTGCTCTACTCTAGACAATGAGGATAAGTCTCAGTCTCCTGACCAGAAAACTGCCTCTTCAGCCTCAATGTCTTCTTTACACAGCAGCAGCATAAACAGTGCTATTTTCAACAACCACCGCAACAGTAATGGCATAGACATACCACAGTGTCCAGGTCCCTGCCACCCGGGTAGCCCGTCTCATTCTGTAACCGGCCTGGGATCGCCTCCTGACAGACATCGCCATGGATCTCCAGAGGTTGGCTTTTTTAAATCTCACAGCAAGCCCCCAATGGATCCAAAACCCAGAAGTGCTTCCAGACCCAGGCATTCCTCAACCTCCTCTTCGGCCTCTTCCTCCCACTCATCGTCTCCAAAGAGCACCCCGATCTCGACACCAACAGCCTGTGCCATGCCAAAGTTTTTCCCCCCTCACGCAACACCTCCACGCCCTTTCAACAAAACACCACTTTCAGCCTTAACATTTAATGCCAGCCCTAAAGAGAAGCCCGTATTTAGACGCTACCTTTCTTTGATTGTTTTCCCTTCCAGCCTCAAGCAGATTCCATTTACCGTGCCCACCTCACCACATGGAACTACGTCTACAAGAAGTGGCTTCAAGAAAGCTGACCATCGCTCCATGGAGGATGCCCCTTCAAGCGGAAAATCGGAGCCTACTTCTCCTACTGGAAAGCGACCTTCTGTGGAGATTCCAGGTAAGTAAGAACATGTAATAAATATTTATGTCTTCTTCTCATAGTATCTGGCTGGTATTATGTGCAAAACCTGGACAGATGCAATGCCATCAATGTCATGCCAGAAGCACAACGCAAAGACGACCAGGCAACATCCATGACTCTGTTAGTCCGGTCCAAGACGGTGTATATGGAGTTCCAGTAGGAGTTAAACAGGTAGCTGCTTTCGCCATGTTCAACTAGCATCCCAGAAGGGGGAACGCTAGGTTATAATTGTGACTAGTTTATGTGCGCTATTTTAAATTGCTATTAGGATTGCCATGAAAAGGACTCATGCAGTGTTGACACGATCAAAGGAGACAGACCGAAATGTCCCAAACTGGCGACGAAGTCGTTACGGCGAGCCAATTAGCGAATCGGTCGCTTATGTAATGGGAGCTGCAAGCATACAAATTCAACTCGGCGTACAAGGTGGTTGATTAATCAGCGCGGAGCAAGTAGGATTAGTCGTTTTACACTTAGGTGGCTACTAAGGCAGAGAGGATGGGGCCTCCCCCCCCCCCTCCCCCTGTAACTGCACCGTAAAACGATTAACCACCGAGTTTCAAGTTTAAAGTCGTTATGATTAATTTTACTGTACCAGGTATTATCAATGTGACTGAGTCTCTCTCTCTCTCTCTCTCTCTCTCTCTCTCTCTCTCTCTCTCTCTCTCTCTCTCTCTCTCTCTCTCTCTCTCGCCAGAATAGTTAGTCTCTGGCTGAGAGCGTCGCATAGATTGATCAACAGATCCAGTACCTACATCAATGATATCTAGAGATCTTGGTGTCACTCGTAAACCGAATGATACAGTCAGTGAATCAAACACACAAACACATGACATTCAGAGCGCGAGGCATCCGGTTTAGCTATTTGACCAGTGAAAGCTCCCCTCTTCTCTCTCTCTCTCTCTCTCTCTCTCTCTCTCTCTCTCTCTCTCTCTCTCTCTCTCTCTTTTATAGAATGAAAAGCGCTACATCACACATGTTAAGCATTTTCTTATTAAGTGGCCAAGGCTGATGGAAATCCTAAGTACATACATAATGTATGGCTATAGATCGATTCCTGGAACCAGATTTAAAGACTGCGCGTGCAGATGTGAGCATTTTGAACATTTGTCCAGAATGGTGCGTCATTGAAATATCTTACTTTCTGTTTTGTCCTTCGTTGAATCTACATAAAAGAGGAAGGAAAATGAGTGGAGAATTCTAGAGGAAGGTGTTAATGCACGTCTAACGAAATATGCATGGGAATGAAGGTAATAGCACATGCATATAAACATTATTAGGAAATATGAATAAATCTGAAAATATGAATATCTTAAACCTAATGTGTTTGAATCCATTTATTAAAAAGTTTTACCTAACAAGTCAGAAAAAACTACAGGAAATGATAGACATTGTGGTGTTAGAAAGTGGAAGAATGGGCCTTAGTTTGAATAATGGGAAGACAGAAGTAATGGTGGTATCAATGAAACGAAATATTCCTAAATGTGTAATAAAAGTAGTTGGTATTATTTTAGGACAAGTACATAAATTTAAGTATCTGGGCACATGGACAACATCAGATGGAAGATGCATAACTGAGATAAGAAAAGAATAGGACAGGCAAAAACTGCATTTTATAAAATGGAAAACATCTTGTGCAATATATCCTTGTCATTGAGAGTTAGAAAAAGAATTCTTGCTTGCTACATACATCCATTTTTAACATATGGCTGTGAATCCTGGACAGTCGGTAGGCAGGCCAAACAATTTCTAGAGGCCTCAGAGATGTGGTTTTACAGAAGAATGCTTAGAATATCTTGGACAGCCAAAAAGAGCAACCAAGAGGTTCTGAAAGAGGCGGGTGCCCGAAGACAACTTATCACAGACATCAGAAGGAGACAGTCATCATTTTTCAGCTATGTTATGAGAAGAGGGAAAATAGAACATGTTGTGACCACTGGAAAGATCTGTGGAAGGAGGGATAGAGGAAGACAACGAGAGAAGATGCTTGGCAGTCTTGTTGCATGGCAATGAGATGTGGCGGCACACGAACTGATATATGCTGCAGGGGATCGCAGATTATGGAGAGGCATGATCGCCCACGCCAGTCGGCAAGGCACCTGATGATGACCTAACAAAATTTGAATAAAAATATGGGCTTAGGGTACCAAATCATCCAGACTCAAAAGGATTACAAGGAAGTGTTGGTAGAAGTGTTGGATGACGACATCACTTATCGAGTGTCAGAGGATGTATGAAGATGAGGCTAGGGACTTCAGACTTTTTTAGAGCATTTAAAAAGGGGTGAAATAAAGAGATTTGAAGACGTTAGAGAAAGTACAAACCTTAGCATCAATGATAATAAGAAAACTTCAATGATAAAATAACAATTATAAAAAAAAAAAAAAAAAAACACACACACACACACACACACTGGAAGGAAAGGAAAAGAAATGCATAACAAAATTGAAATAAAGTGACTTTGGGAAGCGAGAATGTCAAAGAGAGACCAACCAGATGAGAGGACACAGACGTCTAAATGGATTGCATACACGAGAACATAGGTTAGAGAAGAAGAGGGCAACACTGTTATGACTAGGGCTGTACTGAATATTCGCTTCGTATTCGCTTCGGAGCCGAACAGTGGACCTAATAACTATTCGGTATTCGGCCGAATAGTTGTGGTCGGGCCGAATACGAATAGTGGTTACCTTACACCCGTTTCTGGACTCATAGAAAATAAACGTATCAAGATTTCCCACCTTGGTTCATACTGTCAAACGCTATCTTAAGAATCAGAATAGGACAGGCAAAAACTGCATTTTATAAAATGAAGAACATCTTATGCAATATGTCTTTGTCATTTAAGGTTAAAAAAAAAAAAAAAGAATTCTCGCTTGCTACATACATCCAGTTTTAACATATGGCTGTAAGTCCTGGACAATCGGTAGGCAGGCCAAACAATTTTTTGAGGCCTCAGAGATGTGGTTTTACAGAACAATGCTTAAAATACCTAGGACAGAAAAAAAAACAAAAAAACTAAGAGGTTTTAAAAGAGGCGGGAGCCTGAAGACAACTTATCACAGACATCAGAAGGAGACAGTCATTATTTTTCGACCATGTTATGAGAAGAGGGAAAATGGAACATGTGGTGACCACTGAAAAGATCTGTTGAAGAAGGGATAGAGGAAGACAACGTGAGAAGATTCTTGACAGTCTTGTTGAATGGCATGGAGGGGTGTCAGCACATGAACTGATACATGCTGCAGGAGATCGCAGATAATCGCCCATGCCAGTCAGCAAAGCACCTGATGATAATGATACACTATTCGTATTCGACCAAATAGTTGGTCCAGCCTTTTGTATTCGGCCGAATAGTGAAAATCACTATTCGGTACAGCCCTAGTTATGACCATTGTGTGTTCTGTAAATGAGACAAGACGACTTGGCTTGGCTTGCTTTGGGTAAAAGATCGTCACGTTTAACCAGCATCCCTAAACGTGGAGCTTTAGGTTATAATTGTGACTATGTTATGTGCGCCATGTGCAATGGCTCAACATTGCACGCCACCAACTAGGTCTCAAAGGGACTCTTGCAGTGTTGATACAATCAGAGAGACGACCCGAATACTGTCCCAACCGAAGTCGTCTACTGGCCAGCCAATGGGCGACCCGATCACTGCGATACAGCTGGATAATGCAGCAAAAAACCATATATTATTTTCCCTTTTTGTGTCCATATTCTGCTTTGTGACGCCCAGTACTCGTTTGCCTAGTATTCTTGATGTTGTTTGGTCTCAAGGTATCAGTGACTCCATCTTCTTCTTGGGCGCTCTCTACCTTTTTTTTTGTTTCTACTTTCATATTTTACACTCTCGCTGCTGCTATCATTGGATGTATCCTCATTAAAAGACCAAACCATTTTAGTCTTTGTAACTTCTCTGTTTTTCGCATGATCTTTTCTATGTTTGTTTACGACCTTTCTCTTTTGGCACTGCTGAGTTTTTATTTTGTGTTCTTTAGTCTGTGTCCAAGGCTGATACTGAAAGCTCAATGTTGATATGCAGACTGTATTTAAAATGTGTCGTTTTGTCGTCGTTGAGATAGCCGGGTGTTTCAAAATCACCTGATACGTGACATTATTGGCTTTTTGGCTTTAAGCAGCAAACAGTATAAGGCCCCAAAATGTGCGAAGGGTCCTTTATTTTTAATTGTTCCCTTCAATAAATTATTTCAAATAATAATAATATTAATAAATGGTATTAATTGGTCAAGTGGTTTCTGATTAGTTAGTTTGGCCCCCTAATTTTTTTTCAAAGGCCTACCAACGACCTCATAATTTCAATAGTTATACTGAAGAGCTGAGGAGAAGAGGCAGACCAAGAAAGATCTGAATACAGAACTTGACTAACTGGACAAGAATTACTCAAACACTCATGAAGTCCATCGCATGAGACCGTCAAAGGCGGAGTCAGCTGATCAGTCAGGCAGCAGGAGCTGGTAACCCAACGGCACGCCGTGTTAGGGATGATGATAGTACTGTAGAATTTTTTGTAATGAAATATTGGTATGGCAACAAGATTACGTTTCGGCCGATGAGGGTTTTTGTATGTGTAAGTGAAACGTGGGCGTCTGTGGCTTAGGCGTTGCGAACGCGATTCGTAATGCCAAATGCTTGGGTTCGATCCCAGCTGCGAACGATTTATTTGTTTTGGTTTCGACCGTGGTATCGAGAGTGACAGTTGAGCAGGCAATGGCAAACTACTGTATGTCAAATTTTATCCTCGAAATACCACAACAGTCAAAAAAATGCTGCGGTTAGTTCTGCAAAGTTCTGAAAAGGATACACAACTAACTTTTTTAATGATAACCACAGACGCACTAAATTTGTTTATCCGACTCCTGGAATACGCACACCAACAAATGGAAAAGCTGAATTGGCCAGTATTTTTATTTTACAAACCCATCTCCAAGACTAGAGTTCTGGTACGCTATCAA